CAGTTCCGTCGTTCTACTTCAGAAGTAATACGAAGAGAACGTTTTGAGAGATCGCGACCCTCATCATGACTGAATCTGGCCTGCAAGAACCCCACCATACAGACTGCAATTACCGTTGAGGTTCTGACAGGTTGGACGTGCCGGGCGACACTCGTGCAAAGAAATTCTGATTTTCTTCCTTTAAAAAAAAACAAAAAAAAACATTCCAGGAAAAACGGCTGTCAGGTCTGTTGTTTCTACTTCCGAAGTAATAAGAAGAGAATGTTTTGAGAAATCGCGACCCTCATCATGACTGAATCTGGCCTGCAAGAACCCTACCATACAGACTGCAATACCCTACCACACACACAGAGTGTTACCCGAACTACAGGTTACTAAATACTTTCAGGCCAATGCGCGGCCTCCAAAAAAAATTTGGCTGCCCGTTTCTTATTTTACGCGAGCAGGGGGCCGGGTCTACTACCGCCCCTCACAACTTTTTTTTTTTTTGACCCCCATTTTTTTAGGTGCGCCGCATGCAGTGCGCGCGCGTCGTGCGGGATGCGTGGTGCGGCGCACGTGCCCAGTGCAGCGCATCGCGATGCGCCGCATGTATGATACAGACATATATAGACAGTTTCTGACTGGTGGACATAATTACACAACACGGTATAGGGAAGCTGGACCCGATTTCCAGCAAATACAAATTTCATCATGGTGATACACATCACATCATGGTTAGGGTTTCACCTGATTGGATTGATGCCTCAGTTTGTTTTAGAGATTCTATAGGTCAGATGGATAGGGACGCTGGACCCGGTTTCCAGCACATACATTCACCATTGCATACAGACACTGGACCTGATTTCCAGCAGATACATTTTTATCGTTGTATAGGGACGCTGGACCTGATTTCAGCAGGTGTAGCTCCCCACCAATAGATGGAGCCTTGACGCCGGGGCCTACTTATCGGGGATGCTCTTATCACCTCGTTAAGTAGGTTTCCCGTGTACGGATGTTGGGGAAGGACGTGCACCAGCTTGCTCTTTAAAAAACAAAAAGAAAACAACGCTCCGTTCTATTGGTGGGGAGCAACACCTGCTGGGAACCGGGTCCAGCGTCCCATTAAACATGAAAGGCACAGAATACTCAGAATACTCAGAAAGCTAACCCCCAAAAAAGGGGGGTTAACTGAGCAGCGAAAAAGGAGCAGTTGTGTACTGTGGAGTCCTCCCCAGGGGGCTCCAGGGAGGAGGTCCATATATGGGCATATATCGGTATATGTAAATGTATGTATGTATGTATGTACTCGCATCAGTGCTTGGAGGAATGCATCTATCGTCTTTTCGTTTTGTGTTTTCTTTTTTCCCTTCTTCTGATGTAGTTTTAGTGCCCTGCCAGCCAGCCAGGGTGCAATCCACGGAGAGCTGACACTTTGCTTGCAGAAACAATAAAAATAGAAAAGAAGCACTAGTATCCAAAGAAGGAAGTGGGGGAAGGCTGTGCACCAGCTCACTCACATCGGTGCTTGGATGAATGAATCTACCTAGTATCGTAGTTAGTTTCGTTTTTTCGTTGTGTTTTCTTTTTTCTTCTGATGTAGTTTTAGTGCCCGGCTAGAGAGGCAGGGGGCACTAAAACTACTCTTGGCCAGTGATTGCACAAGTGAGAGTAAGCCCTCCCAAGGGTGTTTTTTTTTTTGTGTTTTTTTTTTGTTCTTCGTTTTTTTGCTACTGCCGTGATTGCTCAGCTGTAACGTTGGGAGGGCTTACTCTCACTTGTAACCCAGGAGCATGGTCCCATTAGCAGTCGGATAGGAGTGTGGCCTATCCAGTATGACACTGAGTGGCAGTGGCCTGACAGGTTCATTACGAATTTCTGGGCTGAGAAAACAGGAGAAAGGCAAAAAAAAAAAAAAAGAAACAGAGACCTGCCATCGGAAATCACGGCAGAGTGCTTCCCAGCCATCAGATCACAGATGATCTGATGGTGGTGGTTGCAACAACAGTGAACAAGTAACTGCCACTTTTTTTCTGGAATAAACTCGACTTCTGTCAGCAGTGATCCTGACACCCTCCATATACTCCGTGATTGAAGGAGGGCTCCACCCAATGAGATAATTGCACAACAGCAAGTAAAATACTGAAAATCTTCTATCCAGTGGGCCTATGGCCGACCCCACCCTCTTTTGGGGTCGGCCACACCCCCAACCGATTGAAAAGATTCTGGCGGGAAGCTTTCTTTGCACGGGCATGCCCAGTGTTAAGGAGAGGAGGAGGGGAACAAAGATCTCCTTACTTTTTCGGGTAATACATGTAAAATACTGACCATGGGATCACAAGTACTGCATGGCAGGATTTGGGTCACTCAACTGTCCCACAATCTCGTTTCTATCCTATCCAGTTGCTAGTGGGACCATGCTCCGGGTTCTATATCTAGCTTTCATGTCCAGAGTTTTTTTGTTGTTTTTAATTGTTCTGCTATTTTCTGCTTCCGCCGTGATTGCAGCGGGGCTATAACGCCCGCTGGGAGGCTTAGTCTCACTTGTACCCCAGGTTCGGTATCTAGCTGCTTTCGGGTCCCTAGCATTGTGCGTGTTTTTCTTTTTTTTTTTTGTTATTATTTAATTATTATTATTTTTTCCATTTGCAAGGAGTACCATAAAAGAAAATACAATGGGACTCATGCTCGGCAAAAGGCGGTGTGCAGTGAAATTCAAGGTTGGGGAAAACAGGATCAGAGGTAGTGGTGGTTGAACAGTGGGATCTTCCTCCTCCCTGTAGTCCCGTATGAATGCTTTCTTGGCTTCTTGCGTAGGGGACCTGATTTCCTCTTCCATCACCTGTTGGGCTTGCTGCAGACCGAATTGGTGATCTCTTCTTTCAAACGAGCACCTGGCTCTCCAGGCCAGCATGAGGACCTGCAATCTCGTGTATGAGAAGAGGTTGGTTGCAAAGGGGGACCAATGTGTCTGGAAGTGCTGTTTTTTGCCCAGTATTAGCAGCCCCAGGTCCTCTGGGATGTGCACCCATGTGAGGGAGTGGAAGGCTGCATCCCAGCACTGCCATAATTGGGTGACGGGGCAGGCCAATAGGCAATGCTCCAGAGTTGGCCTGACTGACGGCGATGCTCTACCACAGTAGTCGTGTATAGGTGACAACAACCCTTTCTGTTGCAGGTTTGCAGGTTTGTTTGAGACACCTGCCAGTCGAGTGTGGGTAGGCAGCGATGGAGAATTTGCCATTGAAGGGATCTCAACTTTGTGGGCATAATCTTTGCATAATCATTCCAAGGCAAGGTGTCTATCATCTGCGTGTCCAAGGGTGAGTCTCGCACCCATCTGGTGGATAATGTTTGGTCGATTGATGGGGCGGTCCTTGAGGCCCAGTAGCCCCTTTTGATTGTGTAGTCCCATATATGCACGGGTTTCGGGCCAGACCATTCCCACTCTGCCGGGCCAAACAGCAGCTTGGCGATGGGGATCTTCTTGTGGGTCCCCCACGACTCGCACATTCATCAGCCCCCCCCAGTTTTCGGTCCCATCTAGGTTGACATTTCATGTGAGTTTGGAGAATCTGGCCCCTGGCATTTGAAGATCGTACGCTTCTAGTGTGCATTGCCCATTGTCGTTTTTGCGGACTCTAGACACTGTCAGCGGGCGAGGCAGGTCTGCAAATTTAACGACCCAGTCATCAGCCCTGACCGTGGGACCAGTTTGGATGGTGAGTCGCCACGCAAGGGGGGAGGGCTTCCTTCAGCATGGTCTTCCTGTCTCCCACATTCTTGGCATGCTTAAGCATGAATTGCAGCTGTTCGGTTGTTGCCCAGTCATTTGACAATAGGTCCCACAAGTCCCCCGCTGCGTATATTCCCTTTTTTGCCCACGTGAGCCATGGGAAGTTGTTTTTTAGGCTAAAGAGTTTGCCGTTTTCATCTTTTTTTTTTTTTTTTTTTTTTTGGGGGTAACACCCGGGTTGATGCTAGGCGGGCTGATAAGAGCAGACCTCTCTAGCATCCCCTGGGGGTGGGAAGCTTTACCTGCTGGAAAACGGGTCCAGTGTCCCATTACAGTGAACTTGTTTATTAATGAGCCTGAAACACTGTGTTGACTGCTGTCAACCCTTTTTTGCACTTGTATCTACTGTCTGGGGCATTATCGCTGAGATGGACTTTCTTTCCTTTGGCCACCCCTTCCCACCGTCAACTGCCCTCGCACCTCTTCACCTTCCTTGTGGTGCCATTCTTTAGGGGGTTTCAGAGGGATAGCGGTATCAATTTTGGTCCATTCATGAAATATCAGTTGGTAATCTCTTATAATCTCCAATCTCCCTTGGTCCTCCCCCAATTCCTGTTGTTCCCCTTTCCATTCTACCATCCCTATCTTCCCTCCGTTGGGTCCCCCAAACCAGCTTGAGCTGAATTCCTGAATGTTTTGTTTGATGTCTTTTTGCCTAGCAAGGGGTCTGATCTGTATTTTGACCCCATCCCATTTTGCGGTTATTTCTGTTTGGATCTGTTGTTGTATACTTTTCGTGAATTTGGGCCCTTGATAGTCTGGCTCCCTCCATCTCAAACGTGCAGCGTCGTCTCTAGAGTACCCAGAGCACCGCCCTTCGTCCCACTTTGAACATGTTATCAGTAAATTCGTCGAGTTGGTCTGTTTGGCCCTTGGGCCAGGCTTCACACAGTAGCGCCTTCCAGTCCTAGGGCCATGTGCCTTCTGTTTCTAGTTGCTCCCAAACTCTGTCCCACCATCTCTACAACCAGAGTGCACCTGGGCACTGAAGGAATGTGTGCTCAATAGTTTCCGGTCGTTTCCTAGATGGGAACGCGTCTCTAGCGCTAGCGCCCTGATGCCGGCAGACCGGTGAGGCCGGTTCTCACGGCTAGACTAGCGCCCGGGGAGATGAGCTCCCCGGTTGCTGGACCTGTGGCGAGCGCCCGACAGATGCCCATGGCTCTTTGATTAGCCACATGGCATCCGCTGTTGGTGTCATGAATGGCCGACGACGTGCGGACAGGGGTTGCGCCAGCCCTGGAAATGACGAGGACACGAATAGGGGCACAACTTTTCGGGTTAGAGATGGGGTTGGTGGGGGAGATACATCATAGAGATATGCCTTTTGACATGGACGATGACGTCTGGCTCAGTGAAGATGATGGGCAAGATGAGGTGGATGTGGTCAACTACTTCGCAATTCTTAGCACAGTCTACGTGGAAGGGGGGAGCGGGGAGGATGAGCAGGTTGCAGAAGACGTCGACGACTTTGACATTGATGATGACGGTGATATGACTTTTGACACGGATGATGACGTTTGCCAGCGAGAGGTCGACCAGCAAAATGAGGGCGATTTGGTCAACTACTTTGCACACCTTACCGCAGTCTACAAGGATGGGGGAAGCGGAGAGGATGAGCAGGATGGAGAAGACGTTGTCGGGCTTGTTGGCAGCTGGCATGGACATGATAAAGGGCGAGATGACGTGGATATGCTTAAACACGTCACAAATCTTTGTGTGGTTTACGTGGATGGGGTGTGGGACGAGGAGCAGGGGTCTATGGCAGCGGCGGTGGTTGACGTGGATGTGGGGCAGGTAAAGGGTAAGGTTGGCGAGGAGGAGGCTGGCAACTACATTAACAACAACAATAGCGGTATCAACAACAACAACAACATCAACAACAACAACTTTGATGGGAGAGTTGGTGGAGAGGCGGTGGCTGTGGTGGAGGAGAGGCTGGTAATGGGCAAGATTGGTGACAAGGGTGGGGAGGCTGACAACATTAACAACAACAACAACAACAACACGGGGATCATGGCAGAGCTGGTGGCAGTGATGGAGGAGAGGCAGGTGATGGGCGAGATCAGTCTGAAGAGTGGGGAGGCTGTCAACAGCAACAACAATAACAAAAACAACAACAATGACGGCGGCAACAACAACGACAATGATGTCGAGCAGGGGATGGGTGTAATGGGCGAGGAGGGTGTGGAACATGACAACAAAATCTACAACGGCGACGATAACAACAACAACGACTGCATTATCAACAACAACAAAGGTCACAACAACAACAACAACAACAACAACAACAACAACAACAATTACAACAACAATCATGATGATGGCGACAGTGAAATCTTCGGGAGCAGCGGGGTAGAGAAAGGTTATTGTGCCTCCAAACGCCCTATACGCATCAAGGGAGAGATGCCGCCAACAGCAAAGGGGGAGGGAATTAGGACCTTGTTAGGGCTCGCGGTGTGGCTGATGGGATTGAAGGCTGCCATAACGGCGACGGGATAGTTAATGACAACAATGACAATATCATCAGGAAAGTGGGGAGGAACTAATAGCTTGGTTGGTCGGGCGAGGTCGTATTTTAGGTTGAAGGTGAGAACTACCGTTCCCCTCCATTCCTGCCCGGCGTTTCATTCTTCGTTTGTTCTTTTTTGGCACCAGCTGGGAGTAGGATAGATGCTCTCCCCCTAGTTGATTAATGGGTGATTGGCTTTCAACTCTCCTTAACTTTCATTCACGTGGCTTCATGAGGGGTTTGATGATTACCTTTTGATTTTACGTTTTTAATTTTGTTTTAGGGTGGGGTGAGCTACATTTCTCACATGCTATCATCTCCACACACCATTGAATACGGGATAAATGCTTTATCAGCAGGTGGACGATTCCTCCCCTGCCTAAGGAAGCAATCAATGCCTCTGCTCCTTTCTGCAATATAGGTGAGTTGATTGGAGTCACGCACTGTTGTATAGGGATGTTGGACTCGATTCCCAGCTTACACAAGATCACATCAGAATTAGGGTTTCGACTTTTGGTGTGATCAACAGAATTGGGCATGATGCCCTGCCCGCCATGGAACAGGTTTTGATTGATGAATCAAATACAAAAATACAGAGACCTAGATATACAGTACAACATAGATAATGGGTGGATAGGGTTACAGTTCACTGTACAGGGATGTTGGACCCGATTTCCAGATAACTCACATCACATCACTGTGACACACATCACATTGAGGTTAGGGCTCTGTCTGATAGTTAAGATTGGGCTCGATGCCTCAGTTGGTTTTGGTTTGGACATCTTGTAGATTAGATGGATAGGGCCTCACATCATTTGACAGAGCTGCTTAACGGGCATACATAGGCAGTTGCTGATATCAACATATCTTTGAATAGGGACGCTTGATCCGCTCTCCAGCAGATAACATGCACATCATCGTACAGGGACGCTGCACCCGATTTACCGCAGATACATTCTCATCATTGTACAGGGACGTTGGACCCGATTTCCAGTAGGTGTAGCTCCCCACCAATAAATGGAGCCTTCGACACCGGGGCCTACTTACGAGGGGTGCTTTTATCACCTCGTTAAGTAGATTTCCCGTTCATGAAATTTCGAAAAAAAAAAAAAAAAAAAAAAAAAAAAAAGATGGGAACGCATTAATGCATAGCTCGCACAAGGGGAGAGCGCGCCCTTTTTGCTCCAGGGATGTTATGTCTATCAGCCAGTTATTGGTTGGTAAACTGCGGTGTTCAAGCTGCCATTGGAGTGAGGCGATTGTGACCAGTTTTGCCTTGGCCATCCTAGGGATTACCAAACAAGGGTTGCCTCCAAGTATCTTGCCATTTGTTCTGGGGCTGTTTTCTTGTGGCCCTCGCTTCCTCCAAAGCTTAAGCATGTATGGCCACAAGGGGTGTAGGAGCTGGTTTAGTCTGGTTGCTTGTCGTGGGTTGTTTGCCTGCATTTGTTGGGGGGGGAGGGAAGTGTCGAGTCTTTGTTAGTTAGCAATTGGAAGGTGTGCAGTTTGTTGACCGTCGACGATTCCAGCGCCACGGAGGTGATCTGTAGGTAGGCTAGTTGTCCCTAAGGGATGTCGTTTCCTATTAGTAGCCTGGCCACAACTTTGAAAATCGGTGCTTGGCTTCCTTATTTCGGATGTAACATCTCTCTGCTATGTGAGGACATCCCAACTCACATGTGGCATGCAGCCCTCAATTTTGGCGCTGTTTCTCTAGAGGTATGTTGTTAACGGTGTCGAGGTAGAAACCCTGACAAGGGTATCTGCCTTGTGTTTTCCATGTCGGGTGGTGAGCCATGGGGAGTTGTTTTTGAGGCTAAAGGGGTTGCTGTTTTCATCTAGGACATAGTGATTATTATAAGGGTTGCCTCCAAATATCTTGCCATTTGTTCGGGGGCTGTTTTTGCTGCAGCCCTCGCTTCCTCCAAAGCTTAAGCATGTATGGCCACAAGGGGTCTAGGAGCAGGTCAGTCTCGTTCCTTGTCGTGGGTTGTTTGTATGCCTTTGTTGCAGGGGGGAGGGAAGTGTCGAGTCTCTGTTAGTTAGCCATTGGAGGTTTGATTTGATGAGACGAAAGTGTTACCAAAGCCTATTTTGACTCGGTCGTTGATTAAGAAGTCCAATTTTTTTTTATGACGTGACTGATCGTTCTTTACATTGAATTAAGGCCGAGGAGACAGACATCCATAAAAATATTGGGTTTAAACTTAAAATTGTGTCGCGCGGCTATTTAGTTGCACGATTCAGATGTTGAATCGTAAAGAAAGGAAAAAGAGGAGGCGGGTGGCCGCATTGTGTGCGCAGCCGCGACATAGGAGCGGAGAGGTTTTGATCAGTTTAGATTGGAAAAATAAAAACCTTTATTGGGATTCGAAACGACATCGGTGGGTTCGAAGGCCTATGTCCTACCCTAACGGGACGGATGCACGCTTGCTTCGGGGCTCGGCATCGGTCGTAGCGGGGACAGATAGAAGTCTACTGGGCTGCGGGCAGGTTACCTAGAATGGATTTGGGCTCTTCATAAAGAAGAGTAGCTCCTATTTAATGTGACATAGGAGATAGCCCGGTAGGTTGAAATATCAGAATCTTACCCAGTGGATACTGGGATCAAACCGATGATGTACTACTTGGGCTAGCTCCTTTTGGAGCGGCACAACGAAGAAGCAAATGGCACGGTGGATTTCGACCACGGGATCATTTCGATCACGCGGCCGAAATCGACCGCGCACAGATTAGGATGGCACCTACGCAAGGATGACACACATAAATCAAGAAATTGACCAATTTTTTTTTTGAGTTCCATCCCTTCGGGAATCAAACTTTGGTCTGCGTTTGAACAGGTCAGGGGTATGCCACGAAGGCATAGTGTGAGGAATGTGCCATGTCTTAAGCCAACGAACTAAGGGAAGATAAAAAACAGAATGCAAAAAAAATAAATAATAATAATAATAAACCAACTATTGTTGGCGCCAGGTGGTGCGACAGGAAGAGAGCAGGAACTGACAATCCCTACAAAAGGAAAGGCGAGCGCTCGTTTTTTACGGCGTCAGTAGCTTCGAGTAGGGTTTTTTTCTTAATTTTAGTTTGTTCTTCGTTTTTGTTGTTGTCTCTTTTCCCTCTTGTTTAGGGAAAGGGACTGGTGTCGTTGCTTGTGCAATGGGCATCGTCTTACGCGTCTTTAAAAAATAAAAGTAAAAAACTACAACTAAAGCATTGTGATCACATGAATAAGTACAATGTTCAGGGACGTTGGACCCGATTTCCAGCAGGTGCTGCTCCCCACCAATAGATGGAGCCTCCCTGGCTGTGCTAGCGGTGTCTGCTCTTACCAGCACCCCTAGCTTCTGCTTGGCTGTTTTTTTAAAAGGAAAAAAAAAAAAAAAAAAAAA